AATAATCACCAAATGTGAATGTTTCCCCCCCAGCCCCCTTTTCCGAGGTAGGCACAAAGTTCCACAGACAGTTGCTGAGATTTAAAGAAAAGAACGATTTTTAGACTTAGAATGAGGTGTCCTCTGCAGGGGAATACAAATAAACGGTGCAGATGTCCTGAGGGCAGCACAGGTCTGAGTGTTGCCGCAGCTGCCAAGCGTCTGGTGTGCTACTGCAACATCTGGTGCAGGTTACAAATACCAGCACGACAGGACAGGCCAGCTGCCATGGAAACCGTGGAAGCGGCAGCTTTTCACATGAGACAGTTTGGGACTTTGACAAATAAGCAAATCTTTATATTTCAGGGACCTCTTCCGAAGCAATGGATTACGCCCTTTCTCCACGCTGACTGGTTTCTTAGACATTAGACACCTTCCTTAGATCGTAGGGTGTGGAAAGCAGCTAATGAGAACTGCAAATTCCGTCCCTGTTCAAAAACACTGATAAAAATGTATTCAGAAAAGACTGAAATTAATGATGAGCAGATTTTATAAATCACAAATACAAGTCAGTTCTAGAAGGAAATTTATATTGCATATTAAGGGAAAATGGCTAGCTATTTTTATACATAATTAAGGCTATTCAAAGTTTTCTAAGCAAATAAAAATACACATAAAAGCAAAAAAGTAAGGGGTACAGAATGCTATGTTCCGGGAACCATGCTGAGCCCAGAGGAAGTGGTAGGGGAGGACTGCAGGGATAAGCCGAGCCCGTGTCCTGAAGGGTGGAGGCACCCAGACTGCAGGCAGGAAACCAGTGAGGGCTGTGAGCTGAGGTGATACGGCCACTTACCTCCTGACTCACGGCTCGATACTTGTCGAAGTTGGGGGGCACTATAATAAGCTGTGGGCACAGTCGCTTGGCAATAAATCCTGGCATGGCTGCACGGACACCAAACCTTCTTGCATGGTAATTTGAAGTAGACTGAAGGAGAATTGACCACATGGGGAAAAATACAGAAAACTAAGTGGAAATATTGATCAATGCATTCATAATAAACACATTACTGATAGGCATATTCAATTCAAGGACATCTCTCTTACAGCCGACTGTCATGAACCACGACCCTCTCTCACTGCTGCCCCTACTCAGAATGTGATAATAAGTAATAAGCAAGACTGTCCTAGGAAGATAGAAGCTTCCCTTACATTTCCAGGTACTAAATTCACTGGTTTGAAAAGGCATACCTGTGTGGCTAGCGTTGCGGTGCAGCAGGTTAGGGTGCTGACTGAAACACCAGCATCCCCTATCTGAGTGCCAGTTCACGTCCCAGCTGCTCTGCTTCCAACCCAATACCTGGGAAAGTAGCAGAGATGGCCCAAGTGCATGGGCAACCTGCCACCCGTGTAAGAGACCCTTATGGAGTTCCTGGCTCCTGGCTTTGGGCTAACCCAGCCCAGGACACTGCACTATTTGGGTAGTAAACCAGAGAATGAAAGACCTCTCTGTCTCTGCCATTCTGCCTTTCAAACAAATTAATCAAAACAAAAAACAGATAAAAGTTATACCTGTACTCTATCTAGTAGAGATCAAACTTTGTAAGATAGTAGGTGATGTTACATGGAAGTAACAGTACAATAAAAAGGATAGAATAGTTGTGAGGTAATGGATAGTACAACTAATACACGTGTCACATAAAAGTAACAGAATAGAAAGTAATACTATACCATGATACAGGTTAGGCACCCTTTACCCAGGAAAGTATCTCAGGTTTTGGAGCTCTCTGGATTAAAGGATATCAGTTTATTCTTTACTGGTCAGGCATCCCTAATCTGGAAATTTGAAATCTTACAGTGTCATGTAGGAGACTTAAAATGTTCTTGGGGCCGGTGCCGCGGCTCACTAGGCTAATCCTCCGCCTTGCGGCACCGGCACACCAGGTTCTAGTCCCGGTCGGGGCGCCAGATTCTTTCCCGGTTGCCCCTCTTCCAGGCCAGCTCTCTGCTGTGGCCTGGGAGTGCAGTGGAGGATGGCCCAAGTGCTTGGGCCCTGCACCCGCATGGGAGACCAGGAGAAGTACCTGGCTCCTGCCTTCGGATCAGCGCGGTGCGCCGGCCGCAGCGCACCGGCCGCGGCGGCCATTGGAGGGTGAACCAACGGCAAAGGAAGACCTTTCTCTCTGTCTCTCTCTCTCACTGTCCACTCTGCCTGTCAAAAAAAAAAAAAAAAAAATTTCTTGGATTCTGGGTATGGATGATCATACTCAAGCTTTTAGTACACTTCTGGAATTTGCTTTAAAAAATCAAAGGGCTAATGCACAGATAAGTCTCTAAAATGTAATGAGTAAAGTTTAAAAGCTTTAAATATTAAAAATTTTCTAAATTTACATTTATTTACTTGAAAGAGAGAAGATATGGACAGAGATCTACATTCACTGGTTCACTCTCAAATTCCCACAACAGCTGAGGCTAGGTCAGGCAGAAGCCAGGAATCCAGAATTCAACTCTGGCTTTCCATGCGGGTGGCAGTGACCCAAACATTAAAGCTACCACCTGCTGCCTCCCAGGGTGCACATTTGCAGGCGCTAGACCAGAAGCAGAGCTGGGACCAAACCCAGGCCCTCCAGTGTGGGACGTGGGTCTCAAGCAACATCCTAACTGTGGCACCAAACACTCTGCACACACTCCAATTAAGTTTTATGTTTTATGTTTGAACAATTGTTCTTGTAAAAACATTTCGACTAGGGATGGAACTCAATAACGGCTTTCCCCTTCCTGAAGCAGGAAGACTGACTAGAGTATGTATGAAATTCCCACTTCACTCTCCATCTTCACTCACTTACCAACATACTCATTGAGCCCACAGCAATGGGCTTGTCCTTCAGTTCCGGGTTGTCCCGCATCTCCACAGCAGCATAGAAAGCGTCCATGTCAACATGTACTATGGTGTTGCTCAGATTCCGGCTCTTCTCTAATTCCATTGCAAATCTGTCAACCTTAATGAAAAACAAAAAAGTTAACATGTTTAGACATTACATTGAAGCATCATTAGCCAAAACACTGATTTGAATTTAGCAAGTAGCTATCTACTTGTGTCTGTATCTGTCTATCATCTACTATGAACTGTGACTGCAGACTTTGGTGATTTTTTTTCTTTTTGACAGGCATAGACAATCAGAGAGAGAGAGACAGAGAGAAAGGTCTTCCTTTCCCGTTGGTTCACCCTCCAAGTGGCTGCTACGGCCAGCGTGTTGCGGCCAGCGTGCTGCGCTGATCCGAAGCCAGGAGCCAGGTGCTTCCTCCTGGTCTCCCATGTCGGTGCAGGGCCCAAGCATCTGGGTCATCCTCCACTGCACTCCCGGGCCACAGCAGAGAGCTGGCCTGGAAGAGGAGCAAACAGGACAGAATCTGGTGCCCCAACCGGGACTAGAACCCAGGGTGCCGGCACCACAGGCGGAGGATTAGCCTAGTGAGCCTCAGCGCCAGCTTTTGCAGCAGACTTTGCTGATATTTATGGGTGTATATTTCATTACTGTTGTGGGTGTTTATGTAAACTTTATTGTTGCCCATTAAGGCTGGAACTTTTTTTTTTCTTAAAAAGCACTTATTGATTTATTTGAAAAGCACAGTCACAGAGCGAGCGAGTAGACAGGGAGAGACAGTCTATCTGCTGGCTCACTCCCCAGATGGCTGCAATGGCTGGGACTGGATAAGGCCAAAGCCAGGACTCTGGAAATCCATCTGGGTCTCCCACACGAGTGGCAGGGGTCCAAGGACTTAAGCCATTTTCTGCTGCTTTCCTAGGTGCATTGCAACAGTGAAGAAAGAATGTAATCTGGGTGTTTTTTTAAAAGATTAATTAATTTGAAAGGCAGAGTTACAGAGAGAGAGAGGCAGAGGCAGAGGCAGAGAGAGAGGTCTTCGTCTGCTGGTTCACTCTCCAGATGGTTACATCAGCCAGGGCTGCACCAATCTGAAGCTAGAAGCCAGGAGCTTCTTCTGGGTCTTCCATGCAGGTGCAGGGGCCCAAGGACTTGGGCCATCTTCTACCGCTTTTCCAGGCCATAGTAGCAGGGACTTGAACCGGTGCCCATTTGGGATGCTGGCACTGCAGGTGGTGGCTTTACCCGCTATACTGCAGCACCAGCCCCAAGAACGTAATCTTTAAATAATTTTTGTTTCTTTAGAGAAAGAGTTGGACTGATAAGAAAGAAGAAAGGGGTGGACATTTGGCCGTGGTTAAGCTGCTGCTTGGGCTGCCCACGTGCCACTTCAGTCTCCAGTTTTGAATCCAGACTCTGCTTCTAATCAGCTCCTGCTACTGCAAATGCTGTGAGGCAGTGGTGAGGGCTCGAGTAGCTAGGTCCCTGCCACCCATGTAGGAGACCCAGACTGGGCTCTGGGATCACGGCCTTGGCCTGCTCTAGCCCTGTCTCCTGTAGGCATTTCGGTAGTAAAGCAGTGGACTGAAGAGCTCTCTCTCTCTCTGCTTCCTAATAAATTCAAAAGGGAGGGGCCGGTGTTGTGGCACAGTGGGTTGACACCCTGGCCTGAAGCGCCGGCATCCCATATGGGCACCAGTTCGAGACCTGGCTGCTCCACTTCCCATCCAGCTCTCTGCTGTGGTCCTGGAAAGCAGTAGATGACGGCCCGAGTCCTTGGGCCCCTGCACCTGCGTGAAAGACCTGGAAGAAGCTCCTGGCTCCTGGCTTTGGATTGGCGCAGCTCCGGCCGTTGTGGCCAATTGGGGAGTGAGCCATTGTGGATGGAAGACACTCTCTCTCTCTCTCTCTCTCTCTCTTTGTCTCTGTCTCTGTCTCTCTCTGTGTAACTCTGGCTTTCAAATAAATAAATAAATAAATATTTTTAAAGAATTAAAAAGGGAAAAAAGGGGGGAGTTCATTGTAGCAAACACACTTATTCTCCACTGTGCCTCTTCTGTGGCCTGCTTCTAATGCTAAATTGTATTTTCCAATCTTCTCTGCAGCTGAGGCTGGCTGTGTGACAGGTTTTTGAGTTCTCTTGTTTTCAGATTTATTTATTTATCTGAAATGCATAGTGACAGAAAAAGAGGGAGGAGAGACAAAGAGAGAGATCTTCCATCTGTTGGTTCCCTCCCCAGATGGCTGCAATGACTGGAGCTGGACCAGGCCAAAGTCTGGAACCAGGAACTCCATCTGGGTTTCCCACATGGGTGGCAGGGGCCCAAATACTTAGACCACCTTCCGCGGCCTTCCCAGGTGCATTAGCAGAGAGCTGGAATAGAAGTAGAGCAGCCAGGAGGACCCACACTGGCACTCTGATTTGGGATGCCAGGGTTGCAAGAGGCTATTAACCCGCTGGGCCACAATGCTGAGTAACGTTGTGATCGATGTGGTATACAGCTGTGGAAAGTCTGAAAGTAAAATCATGAGAGGAGAAAGCAGTCAGAAGAGCTGGAGCAAACAAGGACAGGGAGCAGGGCCTGGTGCGCTGCAAGCCGAGGATGTGCGATCTGCACCCAAGACCAGTAGGGAGCTCGGTAACAAAGCAGTCAGAACAGTGTGGGCATTTGGCACAGAGGGTAAGACTCCCAAATCCCAGAGTGCCCGGGTCCTGACTCTACTCCTGATTCCAGCTTCCTGCTAATGCACACCCTGGGGGGTTAATAGTGATAACTCAAGTGACTGAGTCCTTGAATTGGCTCTTAGCATTTGGAGAGTGAACAGATGGGAGCTGGCTCGACGGGTCTGTCTCTTTCTGCCTCTGAAATAGATAAATTAAAACAATAAGAAGAGCAGGCAAATACAGGGAAAGCAGCCCAAATAAGCAAGTGGGGTGATCTCTGGAACACAAGTTTCTTCCAAGGTGGAGAGCTACAGTGGTACAATGTGGCTTTTCTCTCTCTACTGTACTTCAACCTTGTCTCCACTCTGCAGAGCTGCAGGTTACAAATGACAAGTCCTCTTTTGGAAACAGTCACCCCAAATTCTATTTGTCCCCAGCAGCCCTGACTCTGCAGAGGGCACGGATGGCCAGGGTGCTCTGTGCCTCCTCAGGCAGCCCTGGGGTTCAGACACCTCTCCTAGCTCTGTCACAAGCCATCCGGGGTCAGCTCACAAATTCTCTAGGTAACTTAACTCGACCTCTGTCCTCCAAGGCACAGAATTTAATGTTCTTGTATTTGTTTTCCTGCTCTTATTATACATGTGTTGTATTAGGTACTAAATTCCAAGTTCCTTCAAAAGATCTTATCTGTCTTTGAATTCTTTCCCTAAAGAGACATGGGGAGGGGCACAGGAATGAAATTTACAGTGGTGTGTAAAAGTTGGTTAAAAAAGAAAAAGCAGTATTAGTGGAGAAGCTGTGGAGAAGGCAATCTCCTTGTAGTGAAACATGATGTCACAGAACTTGCCGATCTTACTCCAGTTTGGCATCGGAATTCAGCCTTATTTGCTGTAGTATCTCCATGATGAACTAGGGAACTGAGCATCCTGGCAAGATGTGCACAAATGACAGAGTAGTAACAACTAGTCCATATTCATCCAGAAAATATGCCCGAGATACAAGATTCGAGAGAACGAGGAATCAGCCTGACAAGAAAAGAATAATAAAAGCAAACCCCACCCCAGGCAGGGGTCCTGCTTGACTCCTACACCCGCGCTGACCCTGCCTTTTCCAGCCCATTCTCCTGTAAAGCGAGTGTGCAATGCCAAAGGGCAGCCTTCCCAGCAGACGACTCACACGTTCCGTTTCCTTCGCTGCGCTCACTGCGCACCCCCGCCTGACTCTGCGCCTCCAGGTATGCACCACACCACTGAAGTCCTCATGCCTTCCTACTTTCCATTTTCCCTCACAGCTTTCAAGTTCTGATCTGAGTCTCTAACATGTACACTGTTCCTCTTGTCACCATTGTAAACGGATGTGTGCTCCAGATGTTAAGAACAAGCGCTTTGGGGGCTCAGCTGGGTTGAGTTCCTGCCACTCACATGGGAGACCTGGACGGAGTTCCTGGCTCCTGGCCTCAGCCTGGCCCACCCTGGCTGTTGCAGGCATCTGGGGAATGAAGCAATGGATGGAAGATCTCTCTCTGTTCCCCTCTCTCTCTTTTTGCCTTTCAAATACATAACCAGGAAAAGAGTAAGAATTTGTTTTGGATCTAAGAACTGACACTCATTAGTTACATGAGTGTGCGCAAGCTGACCCTTGTCATCCTTACTTTTCTTATTTGTAAAGTGAGACTAAGCCTCACCTAAAGAGTTATTGAAAGAATTAAAGAGGCAGACACCCACAGAATGTGTTTATCCTGGGATAGGAAAAGGGTTTAAAATGACCTGTATAAAAGTCTTAGTGATATTTACTGCACATATTATGTGAGTCACATAACAGCCAAGTGCTTCCTAGGTCTTCTCACTGTGACTCCAGTCAGAAGGATCTTCATCATCACTCCTGTTTCACCAAAGAGGAAGCCAAAACTTGGTAAGAGACAGTGACATGGCCTTGAGTCACATGGCAGCAACGCCAGCCCTAGGCCCTGGGTCTCGCAGCTGGGCAACCCCATCACTAGTCTAAAACCCACATTCCTCAAGACTGTGCTTTTCCCATCAACTTATGATATGCTTCCTTGAAATAGATTTTAAAAAGCTTTAACACTGAAGTAAGTTCAAACTGTTAGGGAGAAAGAAAGATATCAGCCTGGGTTGAGTGAAAGGGGCTAAAGGGAAAAGACAGGAAGTTCATATAGGAAGAAATGCAGCAGCCTGGCCAGCAGCCATTTCCACGTCCCACCCATGTCCTGTAATCTTGTTAGGGTCCAAGTCCCACCCATGTCCTGTAATCTTGTTAGGGTCCAAGTCCCACCCATGTCTGTTAGTCTTGTTAGGGTCCAAGTCCCACCCATGTCTGTTAGTCTTGTTAGGGTCTCTGCCTTCCCCCTGGAGACTTCTCAGGAGAATCCTTCTGGCCCAATGCCAAGGAGGCTATTTGGTGTGATAACACTGGATAATAAAACTTTGGG